GTCAACCATCAGACACATGAAAAAGTGCTCAACCTCACTCATCATCAGAGAAATGCAAATCAAAACCACATTGAGATACCACCTAACCCCAGTAAGAATGGCCATCATTAACCAAACAAACAACAGATGCTGGAGAGGATGCAGAGAAGAAGGGACGCTTCTACACTGTTGGTGGGAATGCAAACTAGTGCAGCCTCTTTGGAAGACAGTGTGTCGATTTCTGAAAGAACCAGAAATTGACCTTCCATATGACCCAGCTATTCCCCTATTGGGATTATACCCGGAGGAACTCAGATTATTCTACAAAGATACCTGCACCTGTATGTTTGTTGCAGCTCTATTCACAATAGAAAAAACATGGAACCAACCGTGTTGCCCATCGAAGCTGGACTTGGACTGGATAAAAGAAATGTGGTACATATACACAATGGAATATTATGCAGCCATAAAGAAAGACAAACATATGGACTTTGCAGCAACTTGGATGGATTTAGAGTCGATCATACTCAGTGATCTATCCTCATTTCTCTTAAGGGAAAGCCTGAACTCTTTAATCTGCCGTGTGAGGCCCATTAGGACCCTTCTGCCTGTTTCTCTGGGTCCATCTAGAACTATCTAGCCATGCTGAGTGGCTTCCTCCTGAAGCCAAGCTCCCCGCCCTTCTGTGCCATTGCACATACTGTTTCCTCTTCAAGGAACATTCTGCCTGATTCTCCCCAAACATGCATGCACAAACCCTACACACATTTGCACACACAACTCAATCATGAAACTCCCTCCTTTGTGTGGCCAGACCCCTGCAGGTGTCCATCCTCTGGACTCCTCCTGCCCATCAGCTTCTCCTCTGCATTTCAAGATTTCTTTATCTGCCCTGTCTCCTGGTTCAGGTGCCCCTCCTGCCATGAACACTCTAGGTCCGAGACCGTTTCTTCCTAGTTTCCTCCCCAGTGCTAGGCCCAGCAGTCAAGTGATGACTGAGCTGCCCTTAGCCCAGGCCTCCAGTGTGATTGGCACCCAACTCTCCTCAACTCTCCTGCTAACTCTCACTTACCCAAGCTTTCCACCAGGCCATTTCTGTCACCTCTTCGTCACCTTTCCCAGGAGACAAGAGACACAAGTCAGCCTCCACTAGAAGACTCTGTACGTCCTGCTTCTGCTGCTGACACGTATGCTGCTTGGCTGGGTGTGGTGGTATGAGCAGGCCTCAGGCACCACCCCTGCCCCACCCCCTATACCTCCCCCTTGGAGTTTAGCTTGGCTCCAGGCCCTTCCTGTGGCTAACAGGCCCCACCCAGGCACTGCCAGGGCATGCACTGAGGGAATGACACCACTCACTGCCAATGTTTGGGCTGTGGCTGTTACACAGACTGGAAATTCTGAGTTCCAGCCTGTGAAAGCCACACTTAGTAAACACAGCTGTAGTTTTGTATGGTTTTTGCTAGAACTTGGTCATATAAAAACAGGGTAACTCTATGTCCCTTCCATTTATTGCAGTTGGTACACAATTAACAATGTCATGGGGAGCTCAGCAAAGGATGCAGAATAACAGAAGCCTCCATTCGTTAGGGTGCCACTGTGTCTAGACACCTCTTAATCACTCTGAAGAGTGAAACTCGGAGGCCCCAGAGTTTAGATAACTTGCCCAAATGATACCTCTTGTGAGAAGCAGAGTTGAGATTCCCCCAGTCTCTTGGACTAGGAGGCTCCTGCTCTCCCCTGGGCCCCTGGGAGACGCTGGCTACCAAGGAAAGGGGGAATTTTTCTGGGCAGAAGTTAATTCTGGCTGCTCCAGAGTTTGCTCACCATGGGACCCCTGCCTAGAATGTTACCTTAAAACCACTCTCCCCCACATTACCTCCTAACCCACCCTGCTCCCACCTACCCTCCAGCAAACACATTCTGCCTCAAGGACCACTCTCTCCATCCCAGGAAGGCTTCTATGGGACTTTCAGAATCCCAAGGGAACCTCAGGCTTCTGTAACTCAGAGGGAAAAACAAACCCCATGGTGGAGTGATTTTTTTTCAAATCCAGTGGAACACTGCACATAACAGATAAAAATTGTCCTGTGATACAAAACACTTGATTTCCAACCCCAGGTCCAGTGCCCTTTTTTCTAAGCACACCGCGTCACTGGGTTGCTCCCTTTGGAAATGTGGACTGGGGCAGATGTAGATGAGCTGTGCCAGCAAGCAGAGACCAGGGAGGCAGCCACATCCTGGGCTTCATGGGCACGGTGCTATGAGATACCTTCCAGAGAGGAAGATGGTAGCTGCCTCTGGGCCCCAGGGTTGATGAAGGGTCCACTCCAGACCTTTGGGCATCCAGAATCCCCACCTTCCCAGGACCCCTGGGGGCTAGGACCCAAATGCCTTCACTGTGATGATCAGGAACTCAGCTGCTTCTCATGCACGTGCATATAGAGGTGTGTCCATACCAGGTTATGTGTGGGTGTCTACAGACAGTGAATCTTGGTGTGGGTCTTCTCCAGGAGGGTCTAACTAAAGCCTAATTGTGAGAGTGACCCAAAATGGATCCTCTTGAGAAGAGCCACAGTGTAGATGGCCCTGGGCAGAGCCCAGAGAAAAATGTCCCAGACACTGCCCACCTCTGAGGTCCACAGGGCAGGGAGGCCATGGGAGAGGGCTGGTTCCTCCAGGGCCTTTTCCCTGTCTGCAGTCACTGTCCTCAACCCTCATCTGACCAGCTCCTGCAGTAGGGACCCACCTCCTCACTCATCTGGTTTTGGGGACACCCAGTGCTACTCACTGTTCCTTTTTGGTCTCTCTTCTGCCACCCCAGCTGTTCTCCATGACTCTTTCCTGGATCAGCCCTTTTTGCCCCTCCACATTGTAGCTCTGAACCCTGGCTGCCTTTTGGGATCACCTTGGCATATTTAAAATCCTTCCAGCACAGAGACAAGAGCCCTGAGACCTTCCCCTGCTTCTGCAGAGACTCCTGGCTCAGCCAACCATTCTGGTATCATCTATCATATCCCCCATCGCTGAGGGTCTCTGTTGTTGTGCATGCTTCCTATGTCTACTCTGGAACTCCTCACTCACCCACGTGTGCCCACATGCAGTCTGGAGCCTATTCCCTCACTCCTAAGTGGTCTTTCTACATTCCTGTGTGGGTGCTGGGGCAGCTAACAGGCCTGACCCTGGGCCTCTGTCCCATCCAGAGGGATTGTCTTCCCCTGGATTACACAGGCCACCATGGCCATGTGATGTTACTGAGCCAAGCTGGAAGAGGGTGCTACACTTCCAACCACACTGCTCCCTTGAGCCCTTCTGAGCTGCACCAGCCTTGGAGTCAGACAGAACTTGGGAGACTATCTAAGCACTCGGTGCTGGATCCTCATCAGAGAAATCATCATAACTCGTCTTGCTTTCCACTCAGGTGGGCCCTCTGAAGACACAGGAGACAAGGGGGATGATGGGAGCTGGTGAGTGCCTGGGGTGCTTGATACCTAATTTGACTGCATGCCTCTGGGGCCTCAAGATCCCCCACCACATGTCACACTCCCACCTCACAGAGTAACAGGCAGTGTCATATTATGGGTTTGAGCTGAGTGCAGGATACTGGCTGGACTATCAACACAGCCCTAGCTGGAGGTGAATGCAGAGAGGAGTACAGGGTGCTGTTTGGAGCACAAGGCAGTGGGGTCAAATCGAGTCTGAGACCTAGTTGCTCTGTGGGAGAACCTTCAGCTGGGCTCTGAAGAATCACAGGAATCATGGGCGTTAGCCACAAGAATAAGGGCCAGTGTGGCAGAAAGGTGAAAGGGAAGTAAGGGAGGCCTTGATAAATGGCTTCTTTACAGAGGATGTGTGCCCAGAGACATGGTATATGTGTGCACAGGGACAGGGTGTGTGGCATGGAGGGAGGGTATGTTCACAAGTGTGTGGTGTGTGTACTTGGACACAGAACAAATGTGCACAGGGACTTAGAATATACACAGCATCCAGTCTATCCTTCCCATGTGGTCGGCGCCCAGCTGGTTCCCAGTTGAATAAATGTCGCACAGAAGGAGTGGACATGGATATACAAGTGCCTAGCGGGAGAGGTGAGACCTCTTCTAGTTGAACATGGCTGTAATGTCTGGAGAGAAAGGAACAGTGGAGGCTGGGGAGGCTGGGTGAGCCCAGCAGGCTGGGAAAAGGTCTGAGCCTAGCCAAGGTCTGAGACATTGAGGAGGTGTCAACAGGCATGAGGAGAGAGACATGATCTCACTTACATTCTAGAAGCCCATAGCTGTTCAGAGTGGGACCAGAGGCGGAAGACCAGGAAGGAATGAAGAGGGGATACAGTGGACATGGCCTGTGGGCAGCAGGAGGGATGGAGGGGGCAGGCCTAGGACAAGAGAGGTGTGAAGGGTTGAGGGATGGTTGGGTAACTGTGAGGGACGGGGAGGGTTTAGATGACCTCCAGTTTCTGCTTTGCAGGGGCGTGCATGGAGAGATGCTCTCCTCAGACAGGGGCAGCCAGGCCAGTGTTGGCCATGCTGAGTCTCATATTTTGGCACTCTGCTGGGTCACACACTCTATCCCCCAGTGTCTATGCTTGGCTCCCAAAGGACTGGGTCTGTGACCTTCATCTGAGGAATGCCCTTCCCACGGGAGCCCAGGCTGTGCCCAGAGACTCCATTCTCTCATCCCCTACCCCCCAGCCCAACCCAGTGATTGGAGAGTGCCTGCACAGAAGGGCCCAGATCTCTGCCTTGGATGAATAGATCTGGGGGCTTCACAGTGGGGTTCCCAGGTCCTGCTGGGCCCCTGTCTTCCTCCCCTTGCTCCCTCTATGGCCTCCCATAAACACTTTCTGAGGAGATCACTGCATATGTCCTTGTTTCAGGCTCTGCTTATGGGCCATGGGACCTCAGACATCTCAGGGAGCTGTCAAGTAGACAATTAGAGAGATGCTCCTGGAACTCAGGAGAAAGATAAAGGTAGAGCCAGGGCCATGGTAGCACCATCCCAGGGGTAGTAATGAAGCCACACGTGTATGTGAGAGCTGCCCAGTAAGAAAAGAGGAGTATCCAAGAGGGAGAACAAAGACTTCCCCAGAGAATAAGGGAATGCCCTGCTGAGAAAGGTGGGGCGGGGGTGTTGGCAGGAGACATTGGGTAAGTGCAGAGGCTGCAGGCAGACCACAGGTTAAGGCCCACAAGCCAATGATGAGATTCACTAAGAAGGGCCACCTGGGGACCACGCCGGTGGGGAAGGGGTTGCTAGAGGGCAGTGAGTCACCTTGGAGGGATACAGCTTGTGTGGGCAACGTGGCAGGGGGCTGTATTGGACAAAGGGAGGCGTGGTTGGGGAGGAGGATTGGACATGCTTAGAAGCTCTTGGAGTCCTGGAGCAGGAGAGTTAGAAGACTTAGAAGATGCAGGAGAGAGAGGAAAAGGAGACCTGGTGGGTGAGAAGAAGGTAGGGGAGTGGGAGCCGGGGCCTGACTGGAGACTTGACTTCAGTTAGGAAGGAAACAGAGATGAAGGCCCTCTCTGTCATGTATTTAAAGGAAAGGACAGAGAACAAGGTGCATGGGGAAAAAGGTAGTGTCTTCCCAGGTGTCCTGAGGGTGTTATCTGTTTAGTTGAGGCAAGATTTTAACCAGGATGTGAGGTAAGCTTGTGAGGGTGGAGGTTGGGAGGTTAGTAACAGTCACTGTGCTATAAAAGGAAAATTAACCTATAGCAGACATCCAGCCTGAATTGGTCAGAGACTTGGAGCAACCTGGTGTTCCAGACCTGAGTGAAGAACCCTGGTCCCTGAACGTAGGCTTGTTCCAACTCCATGTACAAACCAAGGACAAGTCCTGCCCCATCGAGAGGGACAAGTCTCTGCTCTGCTCAGCCTGCCTGTCAGGAATCCGTACCCCCGCCCCCACCTCAGCCCTCCTGGAGCCTCAGACCCCTTTATCTGCCCTTTAGCAGATGGCTAATGGATGGCCAGGCAAGGTAGTCAACTCGGCCCAGGCACGCTTGTGCATGTATGTGTGTGTCTTTCCTTCAACCTCTGACCCCAGAGGATGGTAGAGTGAGTTGCTCAGTGTGAAGCTCATCTGCTCCTCAGTGTCCTTCTGTCCATGGTTTCCATCTCAGCTAGCAGTGCTGCATCCTGGATGCTGCTCAGGTCTGACTC